GCAGAAACAGGCTACATAATACAAAATGATTACAATATTAAGGTTGTAGAAGGTTATAAAGCCCAGTGTCTTTCGCACTTCTAACGCAAATGTAAAAAGAGACAGGTTGCAATCTGCACATATGTAAATATTTGGTCAAATAAACTAGTTTTTCTTCTTTCTTCTTCTAAATACTAGGAAAAATACATTTCTAAAAAATATACTTGTGTGTGGTGTTTCGTGACCGTTAGTCAATGATTATTCGGAGATCGTGAGATGCGGTCTGGTGTGACGTAGGTTTAGAAAAATATTTTCTTTATCGTGCCAACGTTTCGATCTTTATTGAGATCATTTTCAGAACTCAGAGTGTTTGTTTTCTGCGTAATTGTGTCATTCTTGCGTGTCGTGTTATATGAAGAAACACTTTGAACCCTGAAATGATCTCAATAAAAATCGATACGTTGGCAGATAAAGAAAATGTTTATCATTTCTATTAAGAAAATGTTTTCTAAAACCTACGTCACACCAGACCGCATTTCACGATCTCCGAATAATCAAAAAATATATTTTTCATTTTCTTTCAGCAGTCTAATATCGCCATCTATAAGTCTTTAAGTATACTTTAGTTCTACACTGTTTGTCATACTGTTTTCCTTTAAAAAAAGACGTGTGACGCAATATAGAGAAATTAGAGAGACCGTGTTCATTTCATTTACGATCAGAGTATAAATAATCACTAACTGAAACAGCCGCAAAAAGATATTAAAAAAACAGAAGTGTAGCACTAACCGTAGCCACCGATTGACATCCATGGCCGCTTCAAATTGAGGCTACAAAGACTAAGGAAGTAATTACATAAGTTACTAGAATGTGTGTAATAATTTATCAATATGACATTCTGAACTCTACAACATGTGACATTGTGAACAGTATTAAATATTAAACACTTCTAAAACGCAATCACAACCTCAACCTAGATTTATCCCGTTTATTTCCCCTAAGTTGTACTTGTATCTGTGGTCAATTTTTATTTATTTTTTTACCGGGACGAACCAACCAGTCTTTTTGGATGTAAAAAGAGGTATACAATCACAATTTAATGAACCTTACATTAAATTTTTAAACGTTAATTTTTATTAACGTTTATGGAAGTATATGGTTCGAAGTCCCGAAATATATACGTGGAATCCAAAAAACTGTTTGTTTCGTTCCATTAAAAAATTAATTCAATGTCGACTATTATGACAAATGCAAATAAATTAATTATGCTTACAACAAAGCAATACAAACTACAGAATTACTCTCAATAACATGATATTTCATAGAAAAATAACTTCACATAAATTTGACTATTATTGCGGTAAATGCGACAAAATAGACTACTACCATTCAGAACTGAGTTTACTTTTACCACAAAAACATGATTAAATGAAAATTTTAAATAGCCCATGAATTGACTATTACGACAAAGAAGAAATGGAACCATAATTGACTTTTCCTCCGTTATTACGACAAATATAAAACAAATTCAGAACGGACTATTACGATAAAAACACAATTTCTTCTGCATTCAATAGTAATAAAGAAATATATTCCAAATGTTTTCCATTGAAAATTAACTTCTTCATAATTAAGCGGTAAATACGTCAATATTGATTATTATAGCAAAATATAATAAATTCAGAATTGACTTTTACCGCAGAACATGTTTATTTCTCTATTCAGTATTACGATAAAGAAAAGGTTACAGTTGATTTCAATTAATTAATCTTTATATAAAGTATTGGTTGAGATAAACAAGTCAGTGACACGAGCGGGATTCGAACCCATGACCTTCGGCTAAATACGCCGCTGCTCTACCACTTGAGCTATCGTGACTTTTTTATCTCCTTACATAAAGATTAATTAACTGGAAGAGGGTATTTGGTCAATCGGACCAAGAAATCTAATGAGTTATAATTGATGGAAAAACAACTATATATGTAATCGAATATTACAACAGTAAAGACGTCAAAATTGACTATTACATATTGAGAGTTGATTTTTATCACAAGAACGTGATAACTTCTGAATTCGGTATTTTGGAAAACAGACATGCTCAATGAAAAACTAATTCCTTCGTAATTGACTATTAGAGCGGTAAATAGGTCCAAATTGACTATTACAGCAAAATAAATAATAAATTCAGAATTTGCTTTTACCACAAAGAACATGATTATTTGTCAATTCAATATTACGATAAAAAGTCATAATTGCGGGAAAATCAACTATACAATTAATCAAATATTACAAAGGTAAACACACGAAACAATATTGTATTGCACGTTGATTTTTACCACAAGAACGTGATTACTTCTGAATTCGTTATTTTGGGAGAAAAAACAGACGTGCTGAATGAAAAACTAATTCCATCGTAATTGACTATTACAGCGGTAAATAAGGCCAAATTGACTATTACAGCAAAACAAACAATAAATTCAGAATTGACTTTTACCACAAGAACATGATTATTTGTCAATTCAATATTTCGATAAAAAAAGTCATAATTGGGGGAAAATCAACTACACAATTAATCGAATATTACAAAAGTAAATACGTCAAAATTAAATATTACACGAAAGAATATAGTATTGAGAGTTGATTTTACCACAAGAATGTGACTACTGCACTCAATATTACAATGAATAAGACATGTTCCATGAAAAAATAATTTATTCATAATTGACTATTACAGCGGTAATTATGTTATAATAGGCAAGTATAAAAACAAATAATAAATTAAGGATGGATTTTAACTACAAGAACGTGACTAATTCTGAATTCGATATTATGATGAAAAAGAAATATTCCATGAAAAAATAATTCCATCGTAATTGACTATTATAGTGACAAATTGGTCCAAATTGACTATAACAGCAAATACTAATAAATCAGAATTGCCTTTTACTAGAAGAACGTGATTACTTCTGAATTCAATATTATGAAGAAAAAGACATATTTGATGGAAAAACTTTATACGTAATAGATTATTACAATACGTCAGAATTGACTATTACAACAAAAAGCAATAATCCTCCAATGGAAATAAACATTTACCTTACGATAAAAACGGTCAACCTAACAATAATTGACGGAATCAAATTTTAATACGATTACTTCCGAATTGACTAATAAACAAAGAAGCCACTACCAATGGTAATACAGGGTGAATTGCTACTCGTGCTACAAACTTCTCCAGTAGATTCTTCACCCTAAAATGAACAAAAAAGTTCATATTGTCCATGGTCCGATTCTCAACCATTTCAGAGTAATTTCGCTTTTTATCGATTTTGAAAGATATCACGTCCTGGCGTCGGAAAATCGTGATATCTTTTAATCTAAACATTTCTCTGAAAATCTAATAGCACCGTTGAAATTCCCGTTAATTTTTCAATAAGAAGATGACGGTGGCAAAATGTTTGGGCTAATTTTTTGTGTTTTATTTCAGCCAGAACTACAAAAAGAGTGGAAAATTGTGTAAATCGGAAAGTGTATAAAGTAATCCAGAGTTTCTAATTTTAGTCTCAGAAGGCAGCAAATTTGAGGAAAACTACCTGATTTAATAACGCTTCCAACGCACTCGTCATTTTCTTATTTAGTGGTTGTGAGACCAAGATGTTGATGACAAAAAGAGAAAAAATGGTGGTTCAAGGATTGCTAATGTTTGAGAGTGACTTGCTACTCGTGCTACAAACTTCACCAGTAGATTCTTGACCCTAAAATGAACAAAAAAGTTCATATTGACCATGGTCCGATTCTCAACCATTTCAGAGTAATTTCGCTTTTTATCGATTTTGAAAGATATCACGTCCTGGCGTCGGAAAATCGTGATATCTTTTAATCTAAACATTTCTCTTAAAATCTATAAGCACCGTTGAAATCCCCGTTAATTTTTCAATAAGAAGATGAAGGTGGCAAAACGTTTGGGTCTTTCTTCCTTGACCTTCTAGCTGTTTGTAAACTTCTTAAGCATTACATACTAAATGGGCATTAAATTAAATTAAAAAATTTCAATGGAATTATGATTTTGATTCTCTCTAAAAATTAACGGGGATTTCAACGGTGCTTATAGATTTTAAGAGAAATGTTTAGATTAAAAGATATCACGATTTTCCGACGCCAGGACGTGATATCTTTCAAAATCGATAAAAAGCGAAATTACTCTGAAATGGTTGAGAATCGGACCATGGACAATATGAACTTTTTTGTTCATTTTAGGGTGAAGAATCTACTGGAGAAGTTTGTAGCACGAGTAGCAATTCACCCTGTATATACATTTATACATAATAGAGACTTAATTGTTAAATTACAATCTATTCACAATTATCCCAGTGAATAAATTTTATTTTCATTTTGATCATTACCAGCCACTTCTACTGGAGGTTTATTCATTTTGAACTTTTTGAACTTGAGGGTATTTTTTAAAAATTTAAGCTTTTCAAAAAGAGTCAATTATGAATACGGCGGAATAAAGTTGGCGAACAAACTCAGCTTTATGACTCTAAGCTTTCATATTATTAATTTTTAATACATTATGAAATTTACACGGCTTCGCAGATGCAAAAAAGAAAGCAGAACAGCTAAATCATATTGACATTAACCTTTATAATCAAGGATGAAAAAATGCTATCAATTTGGTTTGTAGATTTAAAAAATTAAATAGCAAGTATAATATTTCAAAAACCGACGTTTTATTTTTAATGCTTAATAATAACGAGGCGAAATAGTCATGGATCCGATTCAGATCAAAGGGGTTGAAACATAGTCAAGGTTTTTCTTTATTAAAGGTAAAGTAGAAGGGCGGAATCGGAGCCATCTTAGGGTCTCGGTTGATATTGATAGTAAACATTTTTATTTCGGAACGTAAAGACCTTTCGATAAAGAAAAAAGTAAATAATCGATCAAAATATTTAAAATAAAAGTTAAGTTTGTTCTGTTAGTGAAAGTAAGTGTGAAAGATAGTGATTTAAAACTCAAATTACCTTCTGCTTATCCAGGACAGCGATGATGTCCTGGACACTGCCGACGACGACAGACTGTTGCCTGAGCATTTCTTGGTCCAAAGTCAGCCAATCGCGAATCTGAAAAAAAAAAAAAAAATCTTATGTTTCATTTGGAAAATAATTGAACATCTTGAATGACAAAACTTCCCCCAGCGAAACACCACGTCGCATAAAACTTTAAAAATATTACGAATTAGTACATAGACGTCTTATAAATTGAGAATTACGATAAAGATGCGATAAACTAAACCCTAAAAACCTTAGTATTGCATATAATGGCAATCACCTAATAACCTCATGACTGTTACTACAATGAAGAAAAATCCTCCTAATTTCATTTTTAATGCAAAGACACAACTACTAACGAAGATAAATAGGCGGGCAAAAAATTCCACCGAACTAATTTTTTTTTCATTTTCTCGATAAAAGAAAATTTTGCCCTTAATTTGTCTCATAGTTTTTATCAATAAATATTTGTTTATGCTATGTTTTAACTTGGAAATAATCCCAGTAAATGCTGAGAATGTTGCTCTGGTTTGGCACTTATTGAAGATGGACGTTCCATCAGATATGCGTCCATAGCCATTGGAGTTCCCTATGAAACACTGCGAGTCGCCGTTAGACGTTTTCGAGAAATTGGGTCATACCATAGAAGGCCTCTGGACGGCCGAGGGTAGTAGAACCCAGGATGACCGTTTTTTGACTTTGAGAATTTTTCAAAACCGGCACCTCACTGTTGTTCAGGCGATTCAACAGCTCCAGGAAGTTCGAAACGCACAGCTCGAAGACGATTAAATCAGTATGGACTGATGGCTTTTCGCCCCTTAAGAGGACCAGAATTGACCAGAACACATGGAGTTCCACTGTTCGCATTTGCTCGAGAACACACCCATTGGTCTTTGGACGATTGGTGTGCTGTACTTTTCACACATGAGTGTAGACTTACTCTACGATCTCCAGATGGGCGTAGAAGAGTGTGAAGGCGAAATGAAAGGTACGAAGCCTGTAATTTTTCCAAGAGCCAACGTTTTCAACGTAGCTCAGTGATGGTGTGGGCATGAATGTCAATGGAGAGTCGCACAGAGTTGCTTGTTGTTCGTGGAGGGTCTTTGACGGCCACTCGCTATGTGGATGAAATTTTGCATCGTGCGTTGGCAACCCTCGATGAAATCAGCGACAATCCTACACTAATGCACAATAATGCCCGTCCACATGTTTAAACGTACTTTCAACTGCATAACATCAGGGTATGGCCAGCCCCTTCTCCAGGCTTGAACTCCACCGAACATTTTATGGAATAACCTCAATAAAAACCCGTCCATCACTTCCTGAAAGTATCCACCATCTTGAAAGGACTCTTCGTGAAGAATGGGCTAACCTCCAGCAAAGCGACATTTCCAGAGCAGTAGAAAGTATGCAGAGGTGTCTTGGATTACGGCAGGAGGGAAAATACGCGATATTGAAATATTAATTAAAAATCTAAAACACAAAACAAATTTTTTCTGTCAGTCTTTTTATACATTTTTTAATTTTTAATTTTCCTTAGCAATTAACTTTTTTAAACTTTTTTAGACAAAGACTCAATTATTAAACGTTAAAAAACTTGAAACTTGATTAATATATAAAAATATATGCCAATCAAGTTATATCACAAGTGGGTGGAATTTTTTGCTTGTCAGTGTATTTTTCATAATTGACTATTACAACAAAGACACCGCTACAAACTGAGACTTCGAAACGACACCTATGTCATATTACTAAAAATCAAATAAATCAATTACTAAAAATACTATATAAATACTAACAATTAAACTAAAAAATACTATTTAAATACTATCAATTGTCAAAAATCAAATAAAACAAAACTACTCGACCAACTAAGGTATTTATTATCTCAAAATTGGCCTTTAGGACAAAGTCTATCCTACAAATTGAAAACTTATTTCCTTCAGTTCCTAATATAAACATTGCCAAGTTACCCATACTTGAGGTATAAAAGGTTATGGTGTCATCATTCTAGATTAAGGTTTTGATTTAGATCTTTTCTGGTAATCAGACTTCCAAATAATTTCAGCAGGACTGCTAACATTGAAATATTGGCATATATCTCTTCTGCACAGGCTTATCTCGTTTATATTTCTAGAAGAGGTGAGAGAATTATGAATAGTGTCAATTTTGTCAGATCCTCCAAGTCCTGGTATCGTAGGTACCTTCGCCCACAAGAGAGTAGCGTCTTCATGTTCAACTTGAGGATTTAAGTTATCTTTTTGTCTATATTTGTTTCATGCTCTTTTCAATACTTCACTACTTGGTTTATTGGACGTCTTAGGTGTTCAACTTCAGTCTGATTAAGCCGATGACTGAGATATGCCATGTGTAATAAAGGAAATAAAACTTGATAGAAGATATGTTTAAACTGCGCTTTACCAGGCGATTTAGTTTGATTTCAATTTTATTAAGGGCAAAGCCAGCAAAAAAAAGTTTCTCCAAGATATTTCTTAACTGCTTAATATAAAGGACAACTTTTCAAATTCAATTTCTATGTGGCCCATTCTTGGCGGGATCCGATCGAGAAGTGTCCCCGTGATAAATAAACCAATTCAGCGCTGTTTGAAAAAGTCCCGGGCAAACCATTGAAAAGGTCCGTCGGAGTGAAAAGTTTGTGCGGCTCAACACGAGCCCGTGAGGGGGTGCCACGGCTCTCTGCTCTCGGCCAAGTTTTCAGCCCCAAACCCGTCCACAATTCTCCGATATGACAAGTATAAATTATTGTCGGCTTTTAAGCCGGCCCACACCCCCCCCCCCGACAATGGCGTCTCGCAATGAATGGGTCCAGATGGACAAAGGAATCGACTTCGCCTAACTGCATTCCACCGTGGGCGGTCGTGCTCATTAGGAAAACGTCTGGAAAATATTAACTCCGTAGATCCGAGAGCGCTTTATAGAAATTTATATAAAACTATTTTCGCACAATTACAAACGAGAAAATTTTTGACAAATTAGCCCCGCCGCCAGTAACGAGCCTAAATATCAACCAGCCCAACCCCTTGCTTAAAATTATGACCAATTTATCTTCTCTGCTGATTACACTTAAACATCAACAATAGCTAGTGCTATTTTCTCATTGTCTATCACAAAATAAATATAAAGTCAAATCGAAATATCTGTATTGTGTGTGTGTGTGTGTGTGTGTGTGTGTGTGTGTGTGTGTGTGTTGTGTGTGTGTGTGTGTTGTGTGTGTGTGTGTGTTGTGTGTGTGTGTGTGTGTATGGGCGCGTGCGTGCGTACGTGCGTACGTGCGTGCGTGCGTGCGTGCGTGCGTGTGTGTGTGTGTGTGTGTGTGTGTGTGTGTGTGTGTGTGTGTGTGTGTGTGTGTGTTGACTACGATTTTGAGAGTCAGGTTAGGCTGCGAATGGAAAGCTTAGCTTTTAATCGCTTATAATTCCAAAGCTCTTCTCCGACGGATTTACAAGAAGAACCCTTTCAATAAAAGCTAAGATTATAGGCCTGAATTTGCTGAATTCGAAATGCCACGGATGGATTTTAGACGCGTGAGGAGATTCAATTGTTCATTTTATTAATGGGTGGAAAAAAAGAAAACTTACCTTCTAAATTAGTGTTATAAAGATAATTTTGATAAATGGGCCGTTTTTAAACCCTTTTAAATTGTTAGAACAGTTCATAATGCTAAGGACCACGATAACTACATCAGGTGGATTAATTAAACTTGTACTTTAATATACTATCTTTTAAACTTGAACTTAATTTTTCTAACAGTAAATTTTGTAAAATGAGAGCATTACTATTCAGCACAATTCCCTATTTATTGTCCCCGAGGTTTTAACGATGGATTCGACCCATTTTACTCAATTTTCTCCGATTCCCGATTACTTTTTTTGCCTCTAAATTGAATAAAATATACTCAGTTTATTAACGGGAATTAGGGCCATATGGCCTGGTACAGGGGTACCATGTCCATTCCACTTACGTCCTTATCGATCTGTGCTCATAACCGGCCATTTCCCTAACTCGATTGACCAATTTTCACTTTTTGTCCGGCCATTAGCCTATCTAGGTGAAATCCAATTACGGTTTTTTCTCACGACCCACTACATATTTAATCACGATTTCAACAAACGTTTGTTTTATTTAACGTTCTTACAACAATTTTGGTCGTTGTTGCACTTTTAAATAAGAATTTGCAAATAGAATTTAATTTTTCATACTACTTACAAAGTGATGTCTATATTGGCAATTAGTCAACCAAAATCACTGTCATAATCGTTGTCAAAATGGTCAATTTTGATGCAGGTTTTTGTTGGCAGCAGTGGCTTTGTAGTCGTCATTTCTGCGGGGTATTAATAATATTATATAACCCTGATCTTTGCCGCAGACGGCATCTTTGTCGTATTAGTCAATTTTGAGGAAGTTATTATTTTGTTTGTGGTCGTTTTTGTAGTAATTTCTTAACAAAATTAGAGGATCCTAATTTATAACTGGGATTCTGATCCCATTCCATAGAGGTGTTTTTGTTGTAAACAACAATTCTGAGGAATTTGTTTCTTTGATGGCGAGATAAATCATGTAGTAATTGTGATATATTTTCTTGAGATCTGTAAAGTGCCTAACATATAGTTTTTTTTTCATATTTGATATTTGTAGTAATGCCTAATTCTTATTTTATCAGTTTGCGTTATTAGATGAGTTTTTATTGAAATGTTCAAATCATTTGTGAGTCTTTGTCGTAATAATCAATTATGACGTTTTTCATATTTTAACTACTTGAGATTTTCTTGCAATAATCAATTCTTACATGGTAATGGCACAGTTTTCTATGAGGAATTTGTCGTAATAAACAATTACAGTCAATTCTGTGATTATTTTGCGTCTTTGTCGTAATAACCAATTGTGTTTTGTGCTGTGTCTCTGGCAGAGTCACTTTTGTCGTAATACTTAATTTATAAGTAATACAGATATGTCTTTATCGTAATAGTCAATTCTGAAGTTGCTGGATCTCTACAGTGTCTTCTTTTTTGATATTCACATTCTGTCCATGGGTCGATGGTTTGGTCGTTACC